TTTATTCTTTGTCTAATTATAACAGTAATTAAAATATGAAAATAGGGATCCTTTTAGGTTTGTTAAGATTAGATTAGGTAAAATAGATAATAATAATATCATAATAAAAATGTTTCACGAGGCATGTACGCGAGCAGCTCATGGGTAATGTAATTCGTTAGCGTAACATAAGTTGCACGTTCCCCAAGTGATTTATAACTTATAATGGCATGGATAGTAGTTAGACATGGTTCAAAGGGTGATTGATTATAAATAGATGTATACTGTTACGAACTTAGAGCTACTTTGGATAAATGAATCTAGTTTCATGTTACAATTTGAAGTCATTCTAGAAAAAAATAAGGGGATAACTTATATTTATTTCAAGTTTTTTTTTATGTAATTACGAGATCAGTCTAATTAACTGATACTTTTTTGAGATAGGGTAGAGAAAATAACAGACAAACTATAAAGTTTTACTGAAAAAAAATCGTTTGAAATGCATTTAGGAGGTTTTAGAGAAAATACAAAGAAAATTTGAGATTTTTTGAGATGAGGAAAAGTACATTTAATTTTAACATGAAAATTACTTTGCCCACGAACTGTTGAAAACAAATACTCAGTATATTCATGTACAAATCTTTATTTTATTTTATTAAAAATTAGGGATGCATGTGTAGTAATATTTGGCCGAATACCTGGTCCGGGTACACAGTCACTAAGCTTCGGCCTGGGTCTAGGTGTCAACCAGAACGAAGTTCTCCCCTCAACCCCCCACCACCACCAAAAAAAAGAAAGACGTATATACAAAAATTAGAAACAAAAACAAAATTGACATTTATTACATTTAACTGAATAATCACCAACAGAACATTTAAGTTTTACTTTTATCTTTCAATGCCTAGCTCCAACTTCTCAAACCCTAACCCCTATTGTTCTCAAAACCCCCTCCTTCCCCAGAAATCTACATCTCAAGCTGTGCCTGTTATTAACCCCTATTGTTCCCTGAATCCCAGACTTTCAGCGGGCAGTCAGTCTTTGTTGCTTGTAACACGTTTTTTTTTAACTAAACCAATTATTGACTGTAACTTTCAGTACCGCATTAGTTGCCACAAAGACTAGTGCTTAGATGCCTAATTTTGACACTCAGCCAGAGCCGAGTATTACTGGGTAGTCCAATACCTAGCCGGGGCCGAGTATCCGTGCATCCCTATTAAAAATACTTCACTAAAAAATATGATTTGTTGTATGTAAAACACCTAATATTAACTGAAAGACTGCCAAATGTTGTAAAGATATATACATTATATTGAAAGTTATAAGTATTAAATCTGTAAAGACTTTAAACCTGTAAAAAGGGGGTCACATGGTTGGTCAAATTGACTGAGCCTGTGTTAAGAGAGTTAACTCATTTTTTAAACCAACTTGAGTCTATAGAATATAGCTTTTAGCTATGTCCTTGTTAAAAACTTGAGGTTTAAATCAGTTTATTTTCTGATTGCCTTCTAAATACCTAGGCATATCAGACTTGTTTTGGGTGAATATCATAGTATATAAAACCATCAATATACATCCTAAATATCATACTTTCAATGATCTGATTGTTTTAACACAAAACGTTTTGACTTCTGTAGTTTGTATAAACTTGGATTTAGTTTAGTCTGATAAAAGAAGATATAAGTTAGTGTGATCTTTCCAGTAAACATTCTTTCTTTTCTCACAACGTCTACTTAGTAAGTCTATCATTTAGTTTACTGTTATGTAACATTTATACTTTATTAGACACAGTTTGTGGTAGTTTTTATACATCAGCAGTTATATTGAAATACAGTATCAAGAATGTGACTGTTTTATTTGTGATAGAATCACCAAATGTGGAAGTTGATGAAGCTGGAGTAAAGGTTCGACCAAATCATAATTGCTGTGTCTTAATTCTTCGTGAAATCCCAGAAACAACAGCAGTAAAGGTATGAATGAATCTAATACTAATATAATTAAGCCATATTTCTTTCTGTTTCGTTACTTATCATATTTCTTATATTTGATTCAAAATTATTTTATATAAGGAACAGCTGCACTTATTACTTTTTTGTACCTTATATTCTTTTTATAATCTCAGCCAAATGTTTGTCACAAATTTTTATTTAATACGAAGTAGCAAATTTTAGTTTCTCGTAATCAGTTCTGAAAAAATAATTTTAGGTAAATTGTGAGCATCAAATATTGTGTAAAAAAGTTGAAAGTTACTTTAAATTGAGATTCAGCAGTTTTTGTGTTATCTTGGAAACTTTGAACACATATATCAATCCTTGTATCAGTAGATATGTATAGAGAGGATGGGAAAAAACATTTATGTATAACACTGTTATAGATATTCCTTGTTCCATTTTCAAACCAATTTGATGTGTTGAAAAATCTTATGATAAAGACAATATATAAGGTTATATATTAATCTGTAGTCATATTTTTTTCTGTCAAATTCACATTATTTATTCACTAAAAATATAATCCTCTTGTCTCTAGTAATCCTGATCTTATCAAGGAAAAACTTTTATAAAGCACTTGGGTAGAAGTTAATTAGAACAAAGATAGTTCATTTATTTTCAACTAAGAAAGTTTTATGAAGATTTCAGTGGTTGTATTTAATGAGAACAATTTAATGATGGGAATGTATTACTCGTTAAGCCTTGTTGTCTTAGGAAATAAAAATCTATTAATAAAGTCTTTATTAATGTTTCTTGTGGACCACAATTTAAGTGTTACTGTAGAAGAAACCAAGCATTTACTGTCAGGTTGAACCTATATTGGTACAAGTGCTCCTTCAAGAATATTTTTTAATTTAGATTCTTATCCATACCTTGTTTTTTATTTTTGAAATTTAACATACTTCAATATTTACAATTAAATTTCAGGATATTGAGGCTTTGTTCAGTGGAGATGATTGTCCAAAATCTGCAAAGTGTGAGTTTGCTCACAATGACAGTTGGTATGTGACATTTGAATCAGATGGGGATGTACAGAAAGCGTATCGCTATCTTCGGGAGGAAGTTCGTACATTTCAGGGAAAGCCAATAATGGTGGGTTACACAACATTATGGCATTAATATATTTTGATAGATGCTTATCACATAAATTACAAGAAAAAGTGAAGCTTTAATTAAAATATACCATTTAACAATAGTTTATTCTTGGCTCAAATAATGATACCTTGCAACTGCAATATACTCCATCATCTGATGTTATTTGGAAGTTCCAGCACAACACTTGAAAACTAGAAGGACTATATCATGATAGGTTATATACACATAGTATATTCCACCATTTTGTATGGTTTAGAGTCTGAAGACTTTTTGGTCCATATCATGAGAAGTTCCAGATCCATGGTGTGGTTTATGGTTCCAACACAACAGTTTGAAAAGTTTTTTGGTCCATATCATGATAGTTTTTAGATCCATAGTGATGGTTTAGAGTTCCAACACAATAATTGGACTTTTTAAATTCTCTTGTAACAGTATAGTTCCAGGAGATATTGGAATTTGGCAAGTTTAATCGAAGCTGAAATTAGCTTTATGTAAATTTTTAGTTTCATGAAAAAATACTAGAGCAATTGCTATATTTTGGAGGTTGTAATTTAATTTTCAACTTGTACACGTGATTTGCAATTTTAATATTCACATCCAGGACATATCTCAACCTCAGTTTTTATAAAGTCCACATGACCTTAGCCTTAATTCACCAGAAAGACTGTTTTCCAGTTTGCCTTATAAGTCATGATATTGTTCATATGTAGAACCATGATTTGTTTTGATATACCAGAATAGATTTTTTGACATATTCTTTCTTATTGTCTGCAGGATGCTAGAAAAACAAGCAGGTTCAAGAAATCAGTTTAACACAATACTCTAACTGCTAAATTAAGGATGGCTAGTGCATATAGCCCTTGTGCAACTTTGTGTGAAAATTCAAAACAAACCAAATCAAATCTTCTTCAGGGGCAAACTGAGAATAACCATATAAATCCAAGTGTGAGGTAAAGTTTAGTTTGAGTGATGTCATCCAGGCCATTGTGGAAGTCTAGAGATGTTTGAATAGCTTTCAATGTATTGTTATATACATATCACCAGAAATGATACACACAACAGTACATGAGAAACTACTCAGAACACTTCTGAATTTCCATGGTGACCTGAATGGCTTCACTTTATCTCACACTTTGATTTATATGGTCATTCCCAGTTTGTCCCTGAAGAAGAAAGGTTCCTTTATGAATGTGCTAGAGTTAGAGGGTATCATATTCTTGCTTATTGCATTTTAATTTTGTCTTACATTAGTCAAAAGCCTATGACATTCTAGTTATTAAAAAGCAGTATTAACCCTTTTAATACCATAGTAGAGTATTATGCCACCTTAGACATTTTATTAATAAAAATTAATAACTCCTAAAAGTCTCCAAATCTGACCAAATAAACATTTCAACTAAACATCACAATGACCATGGTACGTTTTGAAATTACATAACACAACAGTATACCATGCTGCTATGCAGTACACCCATAACCACTAGCTTATAATCAATGTTTCTTACATAGTTAGCTTATAAGTTATACAGATTCTGTTATTCAGGATTCATCAGTATATATTTCATTCTTACTTTATGTAAATTATTGTTTATTGAACAAAATGATATTTGTCAAATAAAGAGACATGCATTCAATGTTTTATATCTTTGCAACCCACTGTTATTTGTTTTTTATCTATATTATTCTAAGAAACATAACATAGGCCTCATTGTACAGGAATAAAATAGAGAGAAGTAGTTACAATAAGCACATGTTAACACATTTTGTTAAAACTAGTAGTGCAATAAAATATCTTCTAAAGCATTAAAACTAATGTAACACACATTATTCTATCTTATTCATAAAACTAATCTTTGTCTTATGCAACTTTTTAAAATAATAAAGGATAGAATAAAGATAGGTTTTCTACATTATTTTATTTTAACTGAATGTGAAATTTTAAAAAATCTACATTGTTCTGTTTAATTCTGTAAAATGTTTATGAATTGGACTTTATACAAGGTGAGATTCAAAGAAATTTCATTGATTTTCAAGCATTCTCTAAGCAACTTGACTGTTGAGTTGAAATGTTATAAATCTGTATTGGTTTTTTGAGAATAAAATTTGTCATATTTCAAGAGTGTGCTAATGTTTTATTTATATTTACAGGCACGTATTAAAGTCAAACCAGCCACACAGGCACCTTTCATCCCACACTACAAGAATGGCTCAAGGTATCGAGGGCCTATGGTGTCTCCTGTCAGTGGGCAGCAAGAGCCTTCTCCTCCTCTCCAGCAGCAGTGGATGGAACAGTCACAGCAGGGTTTGCCATACACTAATGAACCTTCAGTGCCTTATGGCAATCAACAGGTTAGTTTGCCCTTCAAGTTTGTTTTATATGTAAACATTGCTTATCAAAGTTTTTCGCTTGCATCAAATTATTCAACTTTCTTAACTGAGGAAACTTTACCTTGTGTACATCTTATTGGTTCTTACTCTAAATCATTTGAAGTGAAGTGTAAAGGCTGAAAAATATTATGTTGGATAAACAAAATGACTTGCACACTCTTTCCTTGATTTTATATAAATTTTCTCCACAGTGTTTTTTAGCTTGTAATTTACAAAATAGCAACTTGCTAAGTTAGCAAATATGAAGTTTCAGAATGATGTCTGGCATGCATTGTGTGGAATGTTCAAATTTTTATTTTTTATACAAATTTACTAATAACAAGGTAAGATTTGTTTATAATTATCTCTACGTTGGATGTGATACTAATGTTAGAAACTAGGTTCCTTTACTATTGCTACTTTATACTTATCTCTCTATAATTTGTATAAGACATTAGAGTTTGAAATTAATTGTTTTAACATTGATGCTCTGGTTTAAAGTCACGTATCCTAGCATATATATCGGACCTTTAATGCAATCGTAGCTAGTTTTCCATAATTATTCTAAAAGAGAATTCCACTCTTTAGAATTAGTAGTAACTAATTAAGTAATTGATTTTAATACAGCAATCACAGAATAAACTTCCTTTTTATGTCTGATAATGCAAATTCACATATGATAAAATAATGGAAGATGCTTCCAGATGTGAACATCTGATTTTAATATCAGGTTTTTAGACATTTGCCTTGATTATTTTATTTCTGATGGCTCATACCTTGGTAAAGATACTGACAACAGTAAAATGTGCATAAGTACATCAAAATAACTGCTGATGTATCTTACAGCAATGAAATAGTAACTTAAGATTATCAACTGTTAACATAAATTAACCCTCAAATTATCAACTTGTTTTATTACTATTTGTTATTGGCTGGGTCCACCTTGTTTTTTGCACGTTATAACACTCAAATAACTGACAAAAAAATCACACTTTCATTGTTTTGAAAAACAGAACTTTGTGGGATTAATTGCAGTATAGAGTGCATATTTGTTCACTTCTTTTTTTATGACTCTTATGCTATTAGGGACTCTACAACCAACAGAGTGATTGATCCACAAGCAATTGTAGAAAAATGTATTTAAAAAGTCAAATTGGTAATTTTTAAAGTTAATGGAGTAGAAGAAATCATGTAGGAGTGAAAAAAGTAAACAAATCGGTATAGAAATGACATGTACCTTTCTTTGTACAGGATTATAATATTAAGAAATAAATGTAGATTAAAGGTTTATAAACATGAATTATTTTACATGTAAATAAAGTTACAAACACAATAGATAAACATATTAACTACTGCTACCAGTCACAATCTTGGTTCCTTAATGAATAAAAAACAGCTTCGGAATTAATATTAAATTACAATCAGAGCAAGCTACCTACTTAGATCAAAACTAAAAGTCAATCTAGTAGTGAATATACTAATTAAATATACTGTTCTTACATTCTAAGATTAGGATGAATTGTGTCATGAGTTGAGTACCTTCGCTGTTAATATTTTTGGCCATAACATTTTCTATATAGCAAGGATTTAACCATGTGTAAGCTTTTACATTTTATGAGAGTATTTGTAGCTAAAATGTTCTCACGGGCACTTTTTGTTTTTTGAGTAAGATGTATCTATGTTTGTATTTCTGTCTCTCAATTTATATATATATATATATAGAGAGAGAGAGAGAGAAGAAAATGATAGTTGTATCTACTTAATAGTTATTTGTATACACTGACTTTTTTTTCTTATATTTCCTCATACTCTACTTATATCTAAATATTTATTAAAATGGAAGTATGCTGTGCTAAGAAATTTTGTGCACTATTGATTGAAGTTGAGGGTTGAAAGGGTATGGTAATTATAAATATGCTGATTAATCAACAATTTGATTGGCTGAAACTATTCATAGATGATGACTAACACCAACTACTATGGAGCTGGATAGAATAAAATTGAGCTTCATAAAATTTTTATTGACAAAAGTAATCAAACTTAAATTTATACTACAATGCATGGCAATTAGATGATGTAAATAAATAATAAGATGTTTTAAATGATTCCTTGGTCTAGTGAGGCAATACAATTAGAGTAATACACCATAAAGAATTTTGTTATTATGTTGGCTAAAATTCTCCAGCAAATGTATTGGTGGGATTAGAAATGTGGTTGTTGACTGTTAAGGCAGTAATTCAAGTATAGTTCAGTAAGAAAAGGAGAATATAAAACCATAAACATTGCACCATCTATAACTTTATTTCCCCAATAACTCATCACATGAGTTCTAGTCCATACCAGATTGTCTGAAAACAAACAAAATGCACAAAAAGGATACATAATTATAAAATTTTCCTTAGGGAGGTGGAGGCATGGATATTATATTTGCTCAGAGCACTAAGTAACCTAAGGTCAACACTGTTAACCTTCTCAGTACGAGTTGGTCAAAGTGAACATGGCACAATCTTTTACAGAGTTACACTCAACTAAACCACTTTTGTATCATTGTATACAAATAAACTTGACACGAAAATTTAGTTAATAAATTTTAATTTTAAAATGAAATATTTAAATATATCCCTTTGTATGAGAATTTTGATATTTGTTTGCACCATCTTGGCCATCCTCAATTTTTTCATCACCTTTGTTTGATGTTCTGAATTGAAAGTAAATTACTCATTATAGTATAGATATTACTAAGGCAAAGTAATTTTTATAGCTATCAATCTTCTTTTTTATGGAGACATAAACTAGAATGTCAGACCCATTTGCCCACTCCCACCCTCTTGTCAGTAATTCTCTCTGACATTTTCCATTACATCATTTATAACCATTAGAAAGACATTTTTAATCTACCAACTGATGTATAATGCTACATTGTTCTCAGTATAAAGTTTGTTAATTTTGTAGACAGATTGAAAGCTGTTCCTGCCAAGTTCAGATTGAGTAGCTAAGGGAATTATTATAAGGTACTTATGCCTTAGTTAGAAAGCCAGTTATATTATAATAGTTGTAGGAAATTTTCTGCTTTGTGCATTTTATTATTCTGTGTTCTTATGTGCATTCTTCAAAGAGATAAAAAAAAATTAATGTACTAATACCATCACTACAAAAAAAAAAGCTTAAATTTTATTGGCAGAGTAACAGCAGAACAACAAGAGGCCAAATGTAATTACCAGATTTCTTGTTTTTTATGTATGTTTTTTATTTATTATTATAAAAGTAACTTAAAGTGTAAAAATTAGAAAATTATCAGGTTAGATTAGGTAAGACAATTAAAAATAATAATAATGAGAAAAAACTCCATGTGGTATGCTCAGGAGTATTTCATGCATTATTTCATTCAGTACAGTAACTTCAGCTATATATTTGCTGAGTGTTTTACAGCTTATATCATGGGATTATTAGTTAGATATGGTTAGATATTGATCACTAACACCATTACAGAAATAAGCTGTGTGAAAATCTGTGTAAACAATATAGGTTAATTACCAACATTTAACTTTATTAACTCTTTCAGCAGACACAATAAAAACATTGCTTTACAATATGAAAGCATTGTAATATTTACTGATAATCTGCCAAATTTCGTTAAAATTAGCTTACTAATTTAAAAATTATAGCATGAAAACTGTAACAAGCACAAAATGGTTACGAGGTCAGTCCGGGGGACTGAGCCCAAGTATTTTTAATCTTAAAATGAAAATTACTTTGCATGATAGATAGGCAACATGTGAAAAGAAAAGAAACAAAATTTATGTATCAGAAAATTTTGAAATTTCACATGCAGAATCTTTATAATGTCCAGATAGTTATCAAACATTTCTTAAGAAAAATTTATATTTTATCTATTATTCTCAGTAATTAATCTCTGTACAGGTTCAGCAGATTTGACCAATCTCACAACAACCATAAAAAATTAGGAAATAAATATAAATTATGCCTCTTTCATTCTAGAATGAACACAAATTATAACACGAAAACGCAATTGATTAGACTAAATAGCTTAAATCTCACAACATTATACATTTATTTATATTTATTATTTCTATTGTATTGACCTTTCAGCTGTGCCTGGCTAACAATACAGAAGTTACAATAAGGTGGAGCAAGTGCACTTATGTTACCATATCCAATAACATAAAACACCTTTAGTCTTTACAAAGTGACTTTTCTTGGCTGTGTTTTAGTGGACTAGTATTTTTGTAAAATACAGTCATATTTCAATTATTATACATTATATCTATATGTACATTATTAATATTTACAAATAAGTTCTTAAACTTATTTTTCTTAAAACATAGAATAGTAAATAAAACTAAAGTAAAGAGATAAAGTAAAGCAAACAATTATCTCTTCTAGTTACGACCCTTGTACTTGTGTGCTGCTTGTCGTAGGTTGCTAAGCCTTATAAAATGTTGTGCCTAGAGGATGTTAAAGAAAATTTTTTTTTAATGTTTTATATATACATTTGAAATAATAAAAAAATCATAAATTACTATATTGATACCATAGAATTCCACTAATTTATCAAGCTTAGTAATTAAGCATTATTTGGGTCTAAAAATATGAAATTTCAAGCAGACTAAAGACTAGTGTGAAGATTTGTATTGAGAAAGCTACTAGGGGGACATTGTGAGCTTTCGACTGTTATTCACATGTCATAGACAGAAGTAAGTATGTATATAAGGGAGCATTTCCAAAAATGGAAAGAGGTCAGCAGGGCCACTTTGTTTGATTCGGTACATGAGCTATATTTCAGCAAATAGAAAAGATAGGAGGTACTTATTTTATATTCTGGCTTGTTAGTATCGATAATTTGACTTCTAAATTTGTATGAAACTATAGACTTTGTATTTTGACATCACAAACACCTAATTTGAACCAGTGCTGCATTCAACATACCACGTGACACACAAAAATTTATGTTTAGGTGTGTTTTTTTAATATTTACTTTTAAATTAAGAAATCAAATAATTTATAATACTAAAATTTGAATTAATCTACAGCCTGATACCAAACTTATTGACATACATTCATAAAATAGTAGTTCAATAAAATTTTGATTGCGAGTCAACAAATGCAATTACATGGCCTTTGACCTGTGACCCGTGTGGAAAGTGGTTAAAGGGCAATAAAACTATAAAATTAAGTAGATACAGATGTAGATTATCAGGAGCCTTAAGCTATTTAGGATAATTGCAATTTCCTCGTACAATCTGTAATCATTGAAGAAAAGAGAAAATAGGTGATTTAGATTTATTTATTTTTTTGTGGTAATTGTAAGATTTGTCAAATTGACTGAATCCTATAGTTAAGGTAGAGAAAATACCAGATAAAATATAAAGTTTTACTGGAAATAAACGTTTGATATTTATTTAGGGGGTTTTAGAGGTTACGTAAATGAAATTTGAAAACTGTAAGATGAACAACAGCATTTTTACTCTTAACATACAAATCACTTTACACTTGGACTAGTCAACACTGACTGCATATATTCATGAACAGATCTGTAGTAAGAATACTTAATTAAAAAATATTTTTCTTTACAAAAGACTTGTAATATTTACAACTTTCGTGAAGATACGTTTACCACATTAAAATTTGTAGCGTAGATACTTTCATAGTCACCTTATGGTTACAAGATTGGTTAGAATGACTGCGTCTGTATGGAGAGAGTTAAATTAATTAGCAATTGACACTGATGAATCAGTAATTAGCAGTGGTATGGCCAGTTAACCAGTAATTGGTCAAATTGCTGATTGGTACATCTCTTGTGATAATATTTGTACTCTAATTGGGTAAAGGTACTAGCTAAGTTTCAGTGATTGTAAATATAACGTGTTATAACAGAAGTATTTGGTATGTTAGATTAATTTTTTTTCCAGGTTTTTCCTCCGTTTTATCCACCTACTATGATCCAGAATTGTGCTCCTGCAAATCCACCAACATTTGAATATGGAACTGTAAGTAACATTAATTATATTTACAAGAACTTACGATGAAAGTAAAGAAGAATGTAATAACGTTTTAGCCATACTATATCTGTTATATCCAGTGCTGACAAGACCAGGGTTCATCAGTCTGGCTGGATTATGACAGACACAGTAGTGGTCGAGGCACTATTTATATATCAGTTGCTGGATAAGCAACTGTTTGGTTGTAAACTGTAATTTGTATCAATATTATATTTCATAACATATCAGAATTAAGTTAGTTTTTATTAACATCAAATTATTTACTTCATTTAATTAATTTTACTCATCATTCAGAACAACTGATAAACCATTAAGCTAATATTTTCAATGTTAAATATAAATTATTAGATATCATTATATTGGTTAGCATTATGTATTCACTGAATATAAGCTGAAAAATTTTATTTCTTTTCAAAATATATTAACTGTTCAGTCTTAGTCCTTTTTAGTAGCAGTGAAAATGTGGGTCCAATCAAAAATTAACATCAGTACATCATTTGACTTGACACTCTAAACATCAAAATTTTGACACATGATTATATCCTTGAAAAATAGGGCTTGTAAAAAATAATAATAATAATTCTGAATTTTTAAACAGAATAAATAGACTGACTGTTGATTGCTGTTGTGCTAACAGTTAGAGAAGAATATAATTGCTACATGGTTATGTTTACAGATTTAGGTAATCTGTATAAAGATATCTATGTTACTGATGAACAAAGAACATTTCTTTTGAAAATTAATTTTTCATGTAATTTATGTGATTACAACTTCACAGAGTTACTTTTAGATCATAACTAAAATATTACTTCAATATTGTCTCTGTTTTACAAAATATTTGGATAATGATCAAATAATGAGTTAAAATATATAGGTTACAGTTTCATTTTAAATATTCTCCATATCTTTTAAGATCTTATTAATGAATGGGTTATCTGCTCAAGCGATGTTAAATGGAACTGGACGTCATGAGCTTCATGCTTCACCAGGAAGGTAAGCAAACATATTTTTGCCTTTTTTGTTATCAAAGTACATTGGATATTTAAAGAACTTTGAAAAATTTGTGCATTTCAAATTAAAATAGTATCAGCATCCAATCTTTCATCTCTTAGTTAAGCCTAACTAGAAACTATACAAGGTGTTTTTCATCCCTAGAACTACAAATAAACGAATTTTTAAGCACATCAAACACACTAACATTATTGAATTGTTGCAACAGCTTATGGTGACTTTTAAAAACTTGCACACTATGATTATCCTACATCAGTGATATTCAACAGATGGGCTGCAAGTCATGCAGTGTGTGCTGCCCTAGACTGGAAAATCTGACTTGCTTAAACTAATGGGTCATCAACTGCATTTGTGGGACTTGAGATGCAAAAGGTTGAGAAACCCTGCCCTGTGTGACAGCTCTTCTTGTTCATAATTAATTTATACTAAAATATGGCCTGGTGGTTAGGGCACTCAATTCAGAATCTTTGGGTTCAAGGTGCTAAAACTTGGCATAGAACATGCTTATCCTTTAAAACCATAGGTGCATTATAATGTAACAGTCAATCTCATTATTTTGTTGGTAAAGAGTAGTCCAATTTTTGGTGGTGGGTGCTGCTAGTCATTTGTCTTCCATGTGGTTGGCAGTTCAAAATTAGGGTGCAAATCAAATAGAACATTCTATAAACTTGAAGCACTTTTATCTGGGTGAAAAAAATCAACTTTAAGCCTAAATAACCATTAAAGCCAAGCTTATTGAAGGAAGATCTGTGTGACTTGTCACTTTGACTAGCGCCCCCCCAGTGGCACAGCGGTATGTCTGTGGACTTACAACACTAGAAACTGGGTTTCGATACCCATGGTGGGCAGAGCACAGATAGCCCATTGTCATGATATAAAAGACTGTTTGGTTTAAATATTAGTGATTAATTTATATTTGTGAGTGAATATTTCATTATTTTTAAGTTTTATTATAATAGGAGTTAAAAGCAGACGACTGTAGAAGGTTTTGTTAATAACTAATTGGTGTCGAGAATATAGAAAGTGGCCAGATGAATATGTAATAAAGATATAAATAGCATGAGATGAGCAGGAAGCAGTAGACATACAACCATAGACAGATAATAGCAAAAGAGAGTATAGTTGTGTGAAGTTCAGTACTGCAAAGGTGATGTAAATGTTTAATGTGTTAGTGAAACTAACTGTATAAAAAAAAATAAGAAGGATAATTATATTCCATCAAAGCATGGTTCTAAAGTAATTGAATCAGCCTGGGTACACTTTGACAAAAGGAACATAGGATCTTCAGAAGAAAGAAGACCAAACG